CGGATTGTGGCTGGAGTGGCCGCTGTGGCCATGACTCTCCTTATGGCCGTCACTGGGGTGGCCCTCTGCTGCTGGCGCCACGGCAAGGGTCAGTACCTGAGCCCCACCGCAGGCCCATACACAGGCCCTGCCCACTGACTGGCCTGGCCTTTGGACCTGGTCCCAGTCCTGCCTCTCTAGACCCTCACTGGCCTTGGCTCACATTTAGGACCTGACTCCCTGCTCAAGCTCTAACTCCATCTCCTCAGGGTCACACACCCCTTACTCTCCTAGGCCAGGGTTCTCTCCCAGTCTCCCGACCTGATTTGCCCCAGTCCTCTCTCTTCCTGCGCACTGGTCTCCACAGACCGTGATCCAGCCCCATTGTTTACCTCTGCCCCCACCCCCAATGTCCCTGGCCTCAGCCTCTTTCTCCAAGCAAAAGAATCTGGTGCGAATCCCAGGGAGCAGCAACGGCTCCAGTTCGAGGGGTCCCGAGGAGGAGACAGGCAGCAGCAAGGACCAGGTAGGATGCCAGGGTCCCCAGACCTGATGGTACCTCAAGACCCAAATAGTAACCCAGTCCCAGTTGTGATCCCAGTCGCAACTGGGTGCCCCAAACTCAAAAAGAGCCGTAGTCCCAACAGTGATCCCCAGATCCAAATATTCCCCAAATCCAAATACACCCAATATGACCCAATTATTCCCTAGACCCAATATGTCCCTAAGGCTCCTTGTTGTCCTGAGCCCAGACCCCAGCTCTCAGGTGCCCTTGGTCCCTCCTGCCTGGCCTCAGATGTTCAACTGAGGGTCTCTGGGGTCTGGCACTGGGGCCAGAGGGTCCTCTACACTCCCTTTCACTAAGCACCCTACCCCAGGGCCCCATCGTGCACACAGACCACGGTGACCTGGCTCTGGATGAGGACGGAGCTCTGGAGACCAAGGTGAGTGTTGGGAAAAGAGGGGCTCCCTTCACTGTATCTCCAACTCTCTCTCCACTTCTTTTTGTTTTTTATTTTTTTATTTTTGGCTGCGTTGGATCTTCGTTGTTGCGCGCGGGCTTCCTCTAGTTGTGGCGAGTAGGGGCTACTCTTCCTCGCGGTGCGTGGGCTTCTCATTGCAGTGACTTCTCTTGTTGCAGAGCACGGGCTCTAGGCACGCTGGCTTCAGTAGTTGTGGCATGCGGGCTCAGTAGTTGTGGCTCTAGAGCACAGGCTCAGTAGTTGTGGCACACGGGCTTAGTTGCTCCGTGGTATGTGGGATCTTCCCAGAACAGGGCTCGAACCCGTGTCCGCTGCATTGGCAGGTGGATTCTTAACCACTGCACCACCAGAGAAGTCCCTCTCTCCACTTCTGTTCCCTCCTTTTTCATTCTGTTGCCCCCAGAGCTGGCACCTAACCCCCTCCACCCACTTCTTGCTGCCTCCTGGGCTGTCTCACCCACCTCCAGTCTCAGTTTGTTTATCTGCTGACTGTGCCCACATATCAGCCCCAGCCTTGGCCTCCATCTTGAGCCCCAGATCAAAGTTCAGTCTGCTTGTGCTTTCCCCAACACAGTCATGTTTCAGGCCTCCTAGATGCCTCTCCCTGGTTGCTTCACCCAGGCCCCTTCTACCTACCAGGTTCCACACTGGCCTCACATTTCCCCAAGCTTGTACATCCTTTAGGGTCCCATCTCTTTTAGGCCCCACTGACCCCAGTCCCCAATCCAGAGCCCTTCTCTCTCTTCTCTGTACCTAGTACATGCTATTCTCTTGGCCCGAAACACTCCTACCTTTCTTCCCATACCTACCTAATTCTCTCCATTATTCCTCTGGTCTCAACTCAAACATTTCTGGTTCCAGAAAGCTCATGCTTCCCTCCTCGTAGCCCTGATCATTCTGTCTGTGTTTCACCTGTCATAGCCATGACCACTGTGAGCTAGGCTTTCCCCATCTCAGTCTGAAGATCCCCCCATAGCTGTCCCAGTCACTTCCTCCATCACAACCCTGACCTTCCTGGCTCTATCTAGTGATTCATCATTTCTCCATTGGCCTGGATCTCCATGAGGACAGGGCTAGGTCTATCCTAGTGAGAGATGTCTAGGCATGCAGCACAGGGCATGACTCAAAATCAAAGCCTCAAGGCTGCTGGGCAAATGAATGAATGAATGTCTTGATCTCCATTTCTCTCTCTTGTTCCCTCTGCATCTCCTTCCACACCGCCACCCCTCAGCAGGCCTATATCCTTCTGTCTCTGTCTTTCTCTGCCCATCTCCTCTGTCCCTTCATCTCTTGTCACTGTTTTTCTGTGTCACTTTGTTCTTCTACCAGTCCATATGTCTCTGGGTCTCTGACTGCTCCTGTTTCTATCTTTTCGTCTCCCCCTAGGTCTGGCTCTATCTCAGTGTGTCTCTCCATCGGTGACCCTCACCCCGCTGTACCCTTATATACCTTACCAAGTCCCATTTTGTCCCCTCAGGACCCAACCAATGGTTACTACAAGGTCCGAGGAGTCAGTGTGAGCCTGAGCCTTGGAGAAGCCCCTGGAGGAGGTCTCTTCCTACCACCCTCCTCCCCTCTTGGACCTCCAGGGACCCCTACCTTCTATGATTTCAAAACACATGTGGGCATTGTCCCCCCCTGCAGGTTATATAGAGCCAAGGCAGGTTATCTCACCACACCCCATCCTCAAGCTTTTACCAGCTACATCAAACCCACATCCTTTGGACCCCCAGATCTGGCCCCCAGCACTCCCCCCTTCCCATATGCTGCCTTCCCCACCCCCAGCCACCCACGTCTCCAGACTCATGTGTGACATCTCTCCAACTGAAGAGTCCTGGGATCTTCAACTTGCCATAATGGATTGTCCTGATTTCTGAGGAACCAGAACAAGTTGGCGACCTTACTCTTCCAAAATTGAACATTGAGGGGAGGGAAAGATCGTTACAATTGTCTGGGTCATTGATATACAGTCAGCTCAGCCAAAGGGGATGCCCCAAGTGGGAGCAAGAAGGCCACTGTGCCTACCTCTTCCCCTGTGTAAAAGAGATGCAAGATGGCACATGGACCCTTTGCAGAGGGATGGGGGGGGGGCAGGGGGTGATGGGAGTTAGGGGCAGAGAAGGAAGTTGTTTCCCAACACTGAAAGAAGATATTTCAAGATGACCACCTGCATTGAGAAGAAAGGCAACATAAGGCAGATTAAGACGGAGGACCTGTCCTGGCTCTCCCCAAGGGACACTTTGCTTCACCCATGGAATTGCAGCCAAAATGCCCATTCACTCCCTGGGAATCCAAGATGGTCACTATCTTGATTTTTTTCTACCTTCCTTAAAGGCCCTGGAAGAACTGGACCCAAGGAGTAAGGATAGGGTGAGAGCTGTTGTGGGGTTGGTGGGGGTGAGGGGGTGGTGTTGGAATCTGAGAATGAGAATATTTATGTTTAATAAAAAAAGTTGCGAAGTGAATGTCTTAGAGATTCTCCTGGCATTATTACTGTCTATCAAAGAAGGGGTCCATCGAAGCTGCCCCAAGGCCCTTCTTCTTACCCTAGACTATGAAGTGGCTGTAGAAAAAACCGTGAGCCACCCCCCAGCCCTTTACTACCCATTGGGCACTCCAGGCTCTTTTAAGATACATCTACACAAACATACATGCACAGATGCACACACATGACAGGACTGCCCCAGTCAGCTTGGGGAAGACAATTCTACACTGCATTTTGAGGAGACAAAGAAGTGAGCCCTGAAGGGGAGGGGGCGAAGGAGAGGCTAGGGGTGGGAGAATAGAAATGCCCTGATCCTTACAGCAAGGATTGGGGGTCAACTCTTATCTTGAGGTGCTGGCTACCTGACTCAGCTCATCCTTAAAGAAAGGGTCTGGGGGCTTTGGTTCATGAATCCTTGATCTAGGAGTTAAAGGTCTAGATGACTGGGGTTCCTGGGAAGCAGAGCAGAAGGCCTGGACTCGTGGGTCTTAGGGAGAAAGGGCTGAGAGCTTGGTCTCTGGTCCTGAGAGAGAAGGTACCTGGGACCAAGACTCCTGGATCTGAGGGAGAAGGGGACTGGGTCTCAAGTGCTATGTTTTTTTTGTTGTTGTTTTGTTTTTTGCGGTACGCGGGCCTCTCACTGTTGTGGCCTCTCCCGTTGCGGAGCACAGGCTCCGGACACGCAGGCTCAGCGGCCACGGCTCGCGGGCCCAGCCGCTCCGCAGCATGTGGGATCTTCCCGGACCAGGGCACGAACCCGTGTCTCCTGCATCAGCAGGCGGACTCTCAACCACTGCGCCACCAGGGAAGCCCAAGTGCTATGTTCTTGATTGGGGAAACTTTGGAGGCCTGTATTCCTGGGACCTCAAGAGACGATTTGGGGGTGGGGGCCGCTCTCCAATGCTTGCATCCCTAGAGGAGAAGGGAGATGATTTGTGGCTATCTGTATCCGAGGGAGGGGAACACTGGTGGTGAGAGTCTTGAGGGAGAACTCAAAATCCCCAACCAGGAAGCCCGTGACCCAGACTCCTGGCTAGGCGCTTGCATGGGGTGGGACGCCTAGAATCTCAAGGCGGCGGGGGCCTGGCGCAGGTTCCCACCCGGGGTTTCCAAGCTTCTCCGCTGTGCGCAGAGCTGCCACGCTATTGTCCTGACCAGGAAGGCGGGGCCAGCGCGGGGCGGGGCTGGCGGCGCCGGCGCAGCCCGGGGGCGGCGGGAGGAGGAGGCGGCGGCGGCCGTGGCGCTGGGAGCTCCTGTCACCGCTGGGGCCGGGCCGGGCCGGGCGGAAGTGCTGGGGACGTGAGGGCGCGAGGGCCGGGACATGGGACCCGCCATCCCCGCCGCTCGCGGTCTGGGCCCGCTGCCGCTGTTGCTGCCACTATTGCTGCTGCTTCTGCGCGCGCAGCTCGCCGTCGGGAGTCTGGCCGGTGGGAGTCCCAGCGCTGCCGAGGTGAGGCCCGGCCGGGTCCAAGGGGATGGGGGAAGGGGCGGGACCGGGCCTCTGGACCCCGATGCGGACAGGTCCAGAGCAGAAAGCGCAGTCTTTCCAGCTAGGTGGCCGGGCCCCCCGGCGCCGCTAACTGCACTAGGCATTCAGAAAACCGCAAGTCCAGGCCCCATCTCCTTCATCATCTATCGTCCCAGTCCGCTCCAGCCCCCAGCGTAGGAACTGGCTTTTCCAGAGCCCCTGCTCCCAGAAGTCCAGCCCCCTCAGACCCTCTCGACCTAGGTGACTCAGCCCCAGACCCTTCCCACCTGAACAGGACCCACCAGGCAGCAAGGCACCTACAGCCAAGAATCTGGGCCCCCTGCATCCTCTGGATCCATATGAGGCCTCCCGCAAGGCTCCTAGGACCCAGAAGTCTAGGCCTCCAGCCATCGCCCCCCAACCCAGGATGTAGCTCTCCATCCCTCAAGGACTTGGTGTCCAGGCCTGCGGGGCGCTGAAGCCAGGCCTTGTGGTCTTTGCACCCGAGAATGCGAGCATGAGCTAGGGATGGAGGGAGGAGGGGCCAGAACGCCTGGGTTCTGACCTCCTCCCCCGCCATTCACGTTTAACCCTTTCAGCTCTAGTGCGGCTGAGCTGGGGTGAGGGCGGAGCCTGTCTCCGCGGCAACAAGGCCGCGAGAATCCCGGGGGACCCGGGTCGCCATAGCAACGGCAGAGCTGGGGCGCCCCCGCCCTGTGGGAGCTGTTTCCCGGGGAACCGAACGTCTATGGAGGCGGTGCGCGGTGCTTGGTGGAGGGGGCTGGTGCTGGGGGTGTGAATATCTGGGTCCTAGGGAGCAAAGGACCAGGGGACTCACATGCCCGCGTCCCCCGTGCCCTCACTGACCCCTCCGTCGCCACCCCCAGGCCCCAGGGTCTGCTCAGGTGGCTGGACTATGCGGGCGGCCAACCCTTCACCGGGACCTGCGTACCGGCCGCTGGGAACCAGACCCACAGCTCTCACGACGCTGTCTCCGGGACCCGCAACGCGTGCTGGAGTACTGCAGACAGGTAGGCGGGACCTACTGGGAGGGGCGTGGCCAGCAAGAAAGGGGATCCAGCTTGGGACCGTGTCGCGCGTGAGAAGCTAGTCGTGCAAAGGCAAGGTCCAGGGAGATGAGGGATCCAAGAAGGCATGGGAAACTAGGGGACGTGGCCAACAAAGAGGCGAAGTTAGGATAGGACAGGACCTGTTTCTGAGAAACTAGGTCAGGAAAGGGGAAGAACCGTGCAAAGACGGCCCGCTGAGGAAAGTGTCCAGTGAAGAGACAGAGTTTAGCAATAATGTGGTGGACTTCTTAAAGAGCAGGTGTAGGTGGGCGTGACCAAAGGAGACGCGGGGCTAAGACAAAAAGACCTTTGGACCGGCGTGACTGGGAACGGGGTGGAACCCAATGGGAGAGTGGAAAGCTAGGAGGCGTGGCTATGAAAGCAGGTCTAACACAAAGAAAGGATACTTACTGAGAGGCCAGAGAGAGAGCCGAGGCTTAACGAAGGGAGGAATCTATGGGGAGATAAACCTGATAGGGGGAAGGGGCAGAGGCGACTACAAGAGAGGTGGGCTTAGAAGGATTGAGTTTTTGGGCAATGGAGGGACCTTCGTAAAGAAACTGGACAGGCAAAGGGGCGGAGCCTAAGGATGGCGTGGCTTAAGGGAGAGGTACTAGGGGGCGTGGCCAACGGGCTTGAGGGGCTTAGATATCTAAGACCTGTTCTACAGAGAAGCGGGGCCTAGGGAGGAGAGGTCCTTATGAATGCTGGAGACTTGAAAAGGGACATGGCCAGTGCAGAAGCGCAGGCGGGCCGTGGGTTGATCACCCCCACCCGGTGCCCCCAGATGTACCCGGAGCTGCAGATTGCGCGTGTGGAACAGGCGACACAGGCCATCCCCATGGAGCAGTGGTGCGGGGATGCCCGAGGTGGCCGCTGTGCCCACCCCCACCACCAGGTTGTGCCTTTCCGCTGCCTGGGTGAGTCACAGGCTGGGGGAGGGGAACGGAAGGAGGCGGGGGTGGGGGGGGCGTCTCCGAGGGGTGAGATTCTGGCCCTGGTTTCAGGCTCACATTAGGGAGATGGATGCCTGGGTCCAGAGTGGGACAGAAAAGCCTATGAGGATAAGAGATCTGGATTCTGAGGAGGGTAGGGCTAGTGGTTGCGGCAGTGTCTCACATCGATGACCCCCATTTGCCAGAGGGTGAATTTGTGAGCGAGGCCCTGCTGGTGCCTGAAGGCTGCCGGTTCCTGCACCAGGAGCGCATGGACCAGTGCGAGAGTTCAACCCGGAGGCGTCAGGAGGCACAGGAGGTCAGGACCCAGCTCACTCATTCTCACCGCCCCCCAGAACCCAGGGATCCAGTCCTCTAACACCCTCCTCCTCCAGAACCCAAGAGTCTGGGCCTCAGCCTTCTCTTCCCAATGGGACAGAACCAGGAATCCAGGCTCCCAGCCCCATCAGCCCCCAAGACCCAGGCATCCAGGCTACCCCCTACCTTCTGTTACCCCACAGTCCTGGCATCTGGGCCCACTCTTCCCGCAGGCCTGCAGCTCCCAGGGCCTCATCCTGCATGGCTCGGGCATGCTTTTGCCCTGTGGCGCGGATCGGTTCCGAGGTGTGGAGTATGTGTGCTGCCCCCCTCCAGTGACCCCCAACCCGTCTGGGACAGCAGTTGGGTGAGTGGGAGGGAAGCCTCCATGCCCAACCCAAGACTCCTGAGGCAGGAGATGGAAGCCTGGGGGCCTGGGCCCAGGTTCTCATTGCCTTGAGTCTTCTGCTCCCTCAGGGATCCTTCCACTCGGTCGTGGCCCCCCGGGGGCAGAGTTGAGGGGGGTGAGGATGAGGAAGAGGAGGAATCCTTCCTACAGCCAGTAGATGATTACTTTGTGGAGCCCCCACGGGCTGAGGAGGAAGAAGAGGAGGAAAGAGTCCCACCCTCAAGCTCCCATCCCCCTGCAGGGGTCAGCAAAGGTGAGGCAGGCTCTGAACCCCCAGTCCCCTCCACCCTTGGGGGAGGATGATTTAAGGGAGCCTTGGTATAGGGGCCTCTTTGGGAGGGACCTGTGGGGGAGAAGCCCTGTTGGGGAAAATGGGAGGGATGGGAATGGCTTTGAATAAAGTAGAGGTGGAAGGGGCAGCCTGTGAGGAATGCAAAGGGGGAGGGTGGTTTGGGGGTGCCCGCAAGTGGAGGAGTCATTTGGCAGGTCTGAAGGATTATTGGGGGGAAAGCTTAGAGGATAGTGTAATGGATTCCTAAGCTTTACAAGAACAGGCCCAGTTCAGAACCACATTTCGCATGATGCCAGGCAGCAGCTATGGCTGAAGTGAGCACATGAGGGTCTCCAGTGCGCTCTAGGAAATGCAGTTCTCTGGGAAGGGAAGGAGACCTGGAGCTGAGCTTCTGGCTGACTCCCTGGTTCCTGGCCTTGCAGTGACTCCCACCCCAAGGCCCACGGATGGTGTGGACGTGTACTTTGGCATGCCTGGAGAAATCAGCGAGCATGAGGGGTTCCTGCGGGCCAAGATGGATCTGGAGGAGCGCAGGATGCGTCAGATTAACGAGGTGATGGTGCCGGGGGCCCCAGGACCCCCCATAAGGCAGAGCTCCCTAAATACCAGGAAATTCCTCAGGGACACATTGAGACTACCTCTAAAGAGTCCCCAAGTCCCCATTAACCCCCAGTCCTCAACACCACCCCTAAGAGGACCAGGGATCTCTGACCCACCTAGAATCCCACTGAGATGCCACCAGATTCTATGGAAACTCTGATGCATGGTACTCTTCCACTTTAAATTCTTTCTGAATCCTCTCGGGAACCCAAGAGGCAGAGGGACTTAAGGGATCTGGAGACTCTGAAGAAGGATGGGGGCAGGGGAGATTCAGTGGGTAGAGCAGGGTGGATTCTAGGATCCTGAAGCTCCCCTTGTCCCCAGGTGATGCGTGAATGGGCCATGGCGGACAACCAGTCCAAGAACCTGCCTAAAGCCGACAGACAGGCCCTGAATGAGGTAGGACAGCCTCCAGGGTGTCCTACTCAGGCCTGTCCACTACCGGGGGCACACTGGCTTTGTCTGGCCTCATCCAGTTTCACCCCTTCCTACTTGCACGGGCCTCTCCGGGCCCCACCCTTACACTTGGCTTGGCCCCTCTTGGCCTACATCCAACCTGACTTTGCTTCCCTCCTCTTCCCACTGGCCATGTTTTGCCCTGTCTTAACTTGATCCTAGCCTCTGAGGGCTGGCTCTGGAGGCCTCTCCCAAGCTGGGCCCCTGCAGACACAGCCCAGTCCTTCTCAGCCTCTCTTTGATGCTTGGCCCTGCTCCCTGACTCTGATCCTGCCCCTGTAATCTCCCTTTTACTCAATCCCTCCTCAGTAGTCCCAGCCTCATGACTCTCTGACCCACCTCTCTCAGCCTCACTTTAGTACAGCCCTACCCTGTGTAGACCCCACTTGGCTGCGCCCCATTACTTGACTCTTGCTCCTACCCAGCTCAGTCTTATTTAGTTACAGCCTGTCTCCAGTGGGTCCTGCCCAGGCCCGAGCCCTACCTTTCCTACAATACTTGGCTCCTTTCATCTCAACACAGGCCAGCTCTGTGCCTAGATTGTTCCCACCCATGTAGTGAACACCTTCAGCGGGGCTCCCAGCAGGCCTAGCCCTGCCCCCACTCTACCTGGCCCTGCAGCCCCAGCTCCACCAGTCAGTCTCCTGTCATCTAGTCCCACCCCAGGTTGACTCTGCCCAGGCCTGGATCCACTGCATGCCTCCCTCTTCCCCGCCACTTGACCCTATAGCCCTACCCTTCCAGACTGCCTTTGACCCGGGTTTCACCCCACTACGCCTCTCCTGGCCCTGTGCCCACCCCCTCGCCAGCACTTCCAGTCCATTCTGCAGACCCTGGAGGAGCAGGTGTCTGGTGAGCGACAGCGCCTGGTGGAGACCCATGCCACCCGAGTCACTGCCCTTATCAACGACCAGCGCCGGGCTGCCTTGGAAGGTTTCCTGGCGGCACTGCAGGAGGATCCGCCTCAGGTGCGGGAGCCGTGGGGGCAGAGGGCAGGGGGTGGAAAGGGCTGGGGCAGGCCTGGGCAGCCTTCATCGCTTCCACAGCCAGAGCGTGTCCTGCTGGCCCTGCGGCGCTACCTGCGAGCAGAACGGAAGGAGCAAAGGCACACGCTGAGGCACTACCAGCACGTGGCTGCCGTGGACCCCGAGAAGGCCCAGCAGACGCGCCTCCAGGTGCTCAGGTTCTTCCAGCTCCCAAATTCTCAGCTAGCCCTCAGACCCCGGCCTCTGGGACCCCATCCCTCAAACTCTTCTCTTGCCCCTCATACCCTCTTTCCATCCCTTGGACCTCCTTCGTATCCCTGGAACCTCCCCGTTCTGTGCTTGGGACCCACTCCAGTCCCTCAGATCCTTACTTCTTGACCCTGGAATGCTGCCTCCCCGACCCCTGTGCCTTTGACCCCTTTCTTGAATTCCCACTCTCTGTCCCTCGACCCCACTTCTTGTCCCTTGGATTCTTCCTTTCCTAGAATCCCCCTCCTGTGCCTTGAACCCTGTTCCTGCCCCTCAACTCTCCTTTTTCCCTAACCCCACTTGTTCTCCCTGGAACCCTTGCTCTGTGCCCTCAGATCCTAATTCCTGTTTCTTGGATGTCCTCTTCCTGTCCATTTAAGCCATTAAGAATACTCCATTCTATGCTCTTGAACTCCAAGTCTTGCCCTTGAACCACATCATTTCTATATGACCCTCCAATTCTTCCTTCTTCAGAACCTCCTCAAGCCTCACTTCCTATTCCTCAGACCCTACTCGCTGCCCCTCCTACCCACTTACCATCTTCTATACCATATTCCTTGTACCCTATACTTACCTTGTCTCCTGTGCCCCACCTTTCCTAGCAGCTACTCCTTTTCCTTCTTCCTTACTTTCTTTCCCAAGACTCTCACAGCCTGTCTTCTGTACATCTTTTCCTTTTCATTGTATTCCACTTCTCCTTCTCCAGTTTCCTTCCTCCCATGGCCAAGTTCCTGCCCTTGTACCCTACTTCCTGTCCATTGTGTGTGCTAATTTTGCTTGGACCCTCTTGACCTTCCTCCTTCACCCTGCCTCCGTTTCCCCATCTCTAGCCTGCACTGCTCAGTTCATCCCTCGTACTCACTCCCCCACAGGTGCAGACTCACCTTCAAGTAATCGAGGAAAGGATGAATCAGAGCCTGGGGCTGCTTGACCAGCACCCCCGCCTGGCTCAGGAGCTGCGGCCCCAGATCCGTGAGTGCCCAGTCCTGACCCCCAGCCTTTGACTCCCCTGCCATTTCAGCTATCTATTCCTGTGTAACAAACTGCAAAACTTAGTGGCTTAAATCAACCACTTTCTTTTCTTTTCTTTCTTTCTTTTTTTTTTTTGAGTTTGGAAAACCAAGGTTTATTCCAGTCTTTCTTTAAATTTAAATGGTCCACAGTCCTTCAAGGACCTTCATTAGCATCACTTGAAAAGTTTGTTAAAAATCCAAGTTTAGGGACCTCACTCCACACATAATGAATCAGAATCTTTTGAGACATGGATGGAAAATTTGCATTTAACAACTTCTTTGAGTAATTCAAATGCACACTGAGGATAGGAAATCTTCATCTTCTGGTCATAGGACAGCATGTACCAGGTATTATAACTGTATTAAATCAACCATTTTCATTGCTTATGATTCTGCCGTCTGCTCTGGGTTCTGCTGGGTGCTTCTTCTGCCGGTCTTGTCAGTAGTCAAGCGTGTCACTACATTTGGCTAGCAGGTCAGCTAAGGGCTGGGACTCTGGCACGAATGAGCCTCTCTCCCTCTCTGTGTAGGCTCAGGGCCTCTCTTCTCCATGGAGCCCCTCCACGTGGTCTCTCCAACAGGGGAGCTGGACTTCCTACATGGTAGTTCAGGCTCCCCATACCGTGCAACTGGAAACTGCCAGGTCTTCTTAAGACTTGGGCCCACCTTCTGTAGGTTAAAGCAAGTCACAAACCCAGTCCAGATTCAAGCTGCAGGGCCTTCACAAGAGCATGAATACCGGAAAGTGTAACCCCCAGATCTACTGCGACTTCCTCCTGGATGTCCCATGCCAAACCCTAATTCTCCTGCTCTTTAAGGAGGCTGTTCTCTTGAACTTCAACCTCCATCCTCCAACACTCAGCTCCACTTCCCCAGGTCACACGTATGGCTCCCCCACCCCGATCACTCTATTGTTAGGGTGCCATCCATTCACCCATTTTTGTTTTGTGGATCCCTATGCTCACAACCTCACCACCTTTCTGCATGTTCCCCTCAGAGGAACTCCTCCACTCTGAACACCTGGGCCCCAGTGAATTGGAAGTCCCTGCCCCGGGGGGCAGCAATGAGGACAAGGGTGGGCTGCAGCCCCTGGATTCCAAGGATGGTGAGTTAACCCAAATCTACATAATCCCAGACTTTGGGGTACAGGTCCCCAACCTCAATTCTAATCCCCTAAAATCTGGGGGTGTCTTAGCCACCACAGTGAGAGGAAGAGGGTGGGAAGGAATGTCTGAGGTTGTAGAGGCCTCTGTAGGATCCTCGATCCTCCTTCCTCAGCCCCTGGGAGGGGGCTTCCCCACACTATCTTTGGTGATGCTCTCCTCTCTTCACTGTTCCACCTGTCTTGCCTCCTCTGGCTGCCAGCAGACACCCCCATGGCCCTTCCAAAAGGTGAGTATCTCACAGAGTAGCCCCCAGCCACCAAATCCCTCTGAGTCCTTGAGCCCAGAATGGAAGAGGGCCCGTACACGGGGAACCCCAGGCCACCTGGGGTGGAGTCTGGTGCCCCTTCTGACCCCCTCTTTAGGCGGGGGTAGCACCATTCTGGGCTCTCAGGAATGAGATAGGATTTGGGGGGTAGGGTCCACAGAACAAGATGCTGCATCCTCTGAGAAAGAGAAGATGTCCCCCCTGGAGCAGTATGAACGAAAGGTAAGTTAGTCGGACCCACGGGCATCGGAGGGAGGATGGGCCAGGGGGCCTGGACTCCTAGGTCTGAAGGAGGAGGGTGCTAGGGGTTTGGGTTCCTTGGCCTCAGAGGAAAGAAGGGACTGAGGACATGGACTTCAGGGTCCTAGGGAAGAAGAGGGCTGGGGGATGCCCTCTTGGGGCCCAGGGGAGGGGGAGGCAGGGGCCCAGACTTCTGGGTCCCTGACACCTCCTGCTCCCCCAGGTGAATGTGTCTGTTCCAAGGGGTTTTCCTTTCCACTCATCGGAGATTCAGAGAGATGAGCTGGTAAGAGGAGGAATATTGTGGGTACTTAGGGGAAGAGGTCAGAGGTCAGTGGCTAGGCTGTGACTCCCAAAGCCACACAGGGCCCTGGTGAGCCTCCAAGATGACCCTGGCCCCATCTCCTCTCCCTGCAGGCACCAGCTGGAACAGGCATGTCCCGAGAGGCTGTGTCTGGTCTGCTGATCGTGGGAGCAGGTGGTGGCTCCCTGATCATCCTCTCCATGCTGCTCTTGCGCAGGAAGAAACCCTACGGGGCTATCAGCCATGGAGTGGTGGAGGTGAGAGGCAGAGACCTGGAATGGGGAGGACTTCCAGAGCCTGGGAGTAGAGTGGCTGTGAGGTCTGCGGTCAGGCCCCTGTGGCCCACTCTGCCTCCCCTGCCCCTATTGCAGGTGGACCCCATGCTGACCCTGGAGGAGCAGCAGCTGCGTGAACTGCAGCGTCACGGCTATGAGAACCCCACCTACCGCTTCCTGGAGGAACGACCCTGAACCAGCCCCCTTCACCCCTTTGGCTGAGCCCAGACCTTCCCTCTTCCTGGAGCCCCAGAACCCCAACTCCCAGCCTGGGAGAGGGGTCTTGAAAAAGTTCATTTCACACCCTTTGTGAGGGGGCTGGAAATTCTTATTTCCCCTGTCCAATTCCAAATTTAATCCCTAAGAAATCCCCAGGTATTCCCAGCTGCCTCCCCACTTGGGACCTCCTCACTTTAATTTATTTTGTACATTTATGTATTGTTCGTTAAGGTGACCACCAGTTGGTCCCACTGTCTGTTGTTCCCTGGAATTCACCCTCCCACGTGTCCCCCACTAATATCCCAATAAAGTCCTCTTCCCCACCAGGCCATCCTCCGTCTCTGTGGGGGAATCAGGGTGCAAGCCCGCCCAGACCTCCTTCCTCTTTAAACTGTTGGAGAGATCTTTAAATCTGGGCGGGGCCTTGGGAAGGGGCGGGGTCCAGAGATCTAGGCTAGGCTCCCACCCAGGAGCTTTCCGTGGTACTGAACGGGCAGCCACTTCTAAGCCTGTATCAGCTGGGTTCCAGGGTGGACTCCAAGGAGGCTGGGCTCTAGCAAGTTTCCCCTGCCTCCCACTCACCCTCATACACAGTCACATACAACATCCACCCCCAACCTGTGAACTCGATGAGGGACAGGGAATCTTGAACTGCTCTTCCCATTCTTGAGTCTTAAGCCCTTCTGGGGGAGGTGATAAGAATCCCCTTGGAGTGTGGAAATCCAACCATGTGTCCCAGAGAGGGTTATGTGATGTCTGCAAGTGCATCGCATTTTGTGACATGTCAGAGTTGTCCCTCTACATATACTGTTACCTGTCTCAAGAGGGTTGTTATGAGGATTAAAAGGAGTGATACTTGTTGGGACATTAGAATTGTGCCTGGCACTTCGCAAGTACTTGTTGAATAAATTCTAAAATGACATGGCAGCAAACATTCATATGGCACCCTGTGCCAGGAACTGCTCCAAGGGCTTTCACGCACTGGCACACTTAATCATTATTTCTACCCCGTGAAGTAGGTACTATGACTATTCTCATTTATAGATTAGGAAAGGGAGGCAAAGAGAAGTTATGTCACATTCCCAAGGTCACCATCTAGGAAGGGATGAAGCTAGGAATCCAACCCAGGAAACCTGGCTCCAGTGCCCATACTCTAGGCCATTTTGCTAACCTCCTGCCTAATAATTCATGGCCGTCCCATATGGTGTTTGGGTTGCTCACTGCAAAATTTTAAGTGATACCATTCATCTCCTAGACATTGTAGATTTGCATTTTTACCACAACTTCCCAGCAGACAGCAGTAGTGTGCCATGTTCTAATATCAGGATAGCACAATTTTCTGACAGATGGCTAAGGGAGGGAGCACGTATTTTTAATTCTTCCAACGGACCGATGAGCTCACAGTGATGAGCTCTACATAATATATACATGAATTATAGGTCATGTATATTAAATATAGACGTGGTAGGTATTGGGAGGAAGATGCCTACATGATGCAAGTTGGATACAATGCCACAGCTTTATTAAGAACCCAGTTTGCAACATCATTCTGATACTGGCTTTACCATCAGGTATACTCAGACCATTCTAGTAGAAATCTATAGCTAGCACCACAAGCAGGGGAAAAACTGCCTTTGTATTTTCACAGCCAAGGGTGATTAACAGGCTAACAATAGGTAAGGCACTCCAAGCAGGTGGGATAGGAAATGAAAGGCCATTTGGCTCAATACGCTCAGTGCATGATTCCCTAATAATATTTGCATTTTAATGGCAATACTTAGAGTAATTAGTTTAAAAACACTGTTTTTATTGAAATTCCAGCAGGAAAAATAACTTTACTATTGCTCATTTGATGCTCTTGTGCCCCTAAACCACTCTTCTTTTCCCACTGAATACGATTTAATTCTTCTTTTAGTAAAGCAAAGTTTCCTAGAGACTTGTTATCACGTTAGTGGTGTGTGTGTGTGTGTGTGTGCGTGTGTGTGCGTGTGTGTGTGTGCGCGCTGATACGTGTCGGGAAACACATCTTATATGTCAACAGAATCTAAGATGCCATCAAAAATAAGAAATACCGGGCTTCCCTGGTGGCGCAGTGGTTGAGAGTCCGCCTGCCGATGCAGGGGACACGGGTTCGTGCCCCGGTCCAGGAAGATCCCATATGCCGCGGAGCGGCTGGGCTCGTGAGCCATGGCCACTGAGCCTGCGCATCCGGAACCTGTGCTCCGCAACGGGAGAGGCCACAGCAGTGAGAGGCCCGCGTACCGCAAAAAAAAAAAAAAATAATAAGAAATACCATTATTTTATGTACCACAAGGAAAACTACGCAGACGTTAAACTATGCCACCTAATTGTAAGATGAATTCCAATTAAGTTCTCCCTAGAATTAATGAAATACAACATACTATTATGAATTTTTCATGGGTCAGCTGCCACTATGTGAGTACCCACAGAAGAGCACGCTCATGCTGGTCCAAGGCAGCTGAGGTGGGAGACTTGTGCTGGCACCACCAGTAATTCCACCTCCCAATATTCTTGTTCTAGTGCAGTACCTTCCTCCCCACTGATTCTGGGCTTGGCCACATGGCTGACTTTGACCAATGGGGTATCAGCAGACATGATGCAAGCAGGGGCTTTTTCTCTTGGAATATTCCCTCTTGGAGCTACTGCATGAGGAGATCCTCCTACCCTCCTGGAGGGACCACAGGGAGAGGGATGCTTGGCTCGCTCTCAGAAGTTCCAGCCATCTCAACTGAGCTATCAGACACGTGAGTGCTGTTGTCTAGGCCAATCGGGCCTCCAGCTGACTGCAGCCACGTGTGTGACCAAAGCAAGATAGCAGAACTGCCCAGCTCAGCCCAGCCCAGATCGCAGAATCATGAACAAAATAAGTGGTGCTGGACTTCCCTGGTGGTGCAGTGGTTAAGAATCCACCTGCCAATGTAGGGGACACGGGTTTGAGCCCTGGTCCAGGAGGATCCCACAGGCCGTGGAGCAACTAAGCCCATGCGCCACAACTACTGAGCCTGCGCTCTAGAGCCCACGAGCCACAACTACTGAAGCCCGGGTGCCACAACTACGAAAGCTTGCATGCCTAGAGCCTGTGCTCCGCAACAAAGAGAAGCCACCGCAAAGAAGCCTGCGTACCACAATGAAGAGTAGCCCCCACTCGCCACAACTAGAGAAGGACTGCGCTCAGCAACGAAGACCCTATGCAGCCAAAAATAAATAAATAAATTTATCAAAAAACAAAAGTGGTGGTTGTTTTAAGCGTTAAGTTTTGGGGTAGAGACTCTGGCATATGCCCTGAAGTGTGCTTGGTTTGTTGTCCGTGAGAGGCTCCAAGCAGTGGGGGCCACCGTGCGTCAGAGGGCTTTCTGGAGCGACAAGACTGGGACGGAAGACAGAGCAGAGGCTGTGGGACAGAGGTACAAGGGGGCATTGTGGAGGTCTTCCGTCTTTCGTTTGGGTTTCTCTGGAAGCAGAGGTTGAGGCAAGGATTTGAGGACAAGATTACCTGCAAGGAGTGGAGAACATTGATAGGGGAGCAGGAAGGGACCCAGAAAAGGGAAAGCTGCCAAGAAAGGGTACGTTATCAAGCCAGAACCATGGTGGAGAACCGGAGCTTCGTTCCACTGGGGAGCTTTGAGAGCCCGTGTAGAACACACACTTCCCAGTTATCCCCACGGAGGCAGGGGACCTGGAGCATTTACATACCGCCTCCCTTCAGTCAGTCACTGGTTGAGAGCTGCTGGAGTGGGAAGAGGCATGATCCTCCTGGCATGGAAGTCTTACCACACTCACACCCAGGGCAAAGCGGGCACCAGTGGTCTGAGAATGCCCACAGGCAGAGTCACGTGCCGGCCCTGGCAGTTAGACCGCCAGGTGTTGACAGGGTGAGGGGGACAGGGTAGGGACTTGGCACCCGCCGTGTCTGCTACAACCCCCACCCAGACACATCCACCCAAACACGGCTCCTCAGCCGCTTCCCTGCACAATGATTAGAGATTAGACAGTAACGGTTCTAGTCCAAGCTGAGTTTAATCAAGAGTTTCAGACAGGGGAGGGATTCACTAGAAATACTGAGGTCTGGGTCAGGGGCCTGGCTGTGTTGTGACTTAAAGCAGTAGGACCTAGGGGACTATGATCGAGAGTCCTTCCTATGTCTCAGGGTTAAGGACCTGAAGGGGGTGGGTCCTGGGGAGGTCAGGGGTCATCTTAGGAGCTCTACTAGGATGGTACTGGAAGCTCTTTTGGCATACTCCAAGTACCATATAGGGGAGTTACATCTGGACCCCAAAAGATCCTGGTGGGGAAAGGGCTGGGGGTCCAGTGTGTTTCACAGAAACAATCAAGGGGCCTCGATTTCACAGAAATCATCAAGGGGGCTCCTTGTGGGTGGAGGAAGGGTATCACACCACCCCAAATATTGGGGACTGTTTACCCACCAACAGCCATTTTGGGGTTTTAATGTAAGACCCCGATGGCAGGACATTATGCACATACATTATCACGGATTTGCAACATTAGCATACGCTGGCTGTCCCACAGGACGGTGGGGACTGGAAAATCAGTCCAGGTTCTGGGTTTGAGTCCTAAGAGGACAGGCCTGGGGGTGCCACACGGCTCCTCTTCAGTAGCTGCCGGAGCTGTGGACAAGACAAGATGGGGGAGACGCTTGAGAGGTTGCAAGGAGAACAGGCACACCCTGTTGGGGTGTGAAGTTGGGGGTCAGAGAGAAGTGAGTAGGGTCAGTTGGGTTTGAAGGTCAGAGGTTCTGAGTCAAGATGCGGGGCTGGGGATGAAGGCTCGTTCACACAATGAATGAAGGCTCCTGAGCAAAGGTGTTGCTGGCTGGGCGTTCCCACCTTGGGATTAGCATTGAGGACTGGGAGTCAAAGGGGAGAAACAAGGGGCCAGAGTCACATTTGGGGGTCAGAAGTCCCACTCTGAGATCAGGACTAAAAGTCAGGGGGCTGGAGGTCATGCTTGGGGATCAGAGGTCACACCTTGAGGTCAGGATACAGGGTTGAAAGTAGAGGTCAGGAGGAGTCACGATTATCAGGCAAGGGAGCAAACACTGAGGTCCAGTGTCATTTTTTTTTGGCCGTGCCACATGGCATGTGAGACCTTAAGTTCCCCAACCGGGGATGGAACCCGTGCCCCCCGCAGTGGAAGCGTGGAGTCTTAACCGCTGGACCGCCAGGGAAGTCCCTCAAGGTCACATTTTGAAGTCAGGGTTGGATAAGGGCCAAGGTCACCTTCTGAGATTACAAGTCACCCTCTACAGTCAGGAATGTTGGGGTCGGGGGTGCACCCTGCGGTCAGGGTGGGCTCAGTGCTCACCCCCTCAGGGCCCAGCCCGGGCCGTAGCAGGTGGACAGGCTGCTCATTCTCCAGGTTGCGCAACGTTGGATCCGCCCCAGCTGCCAGCAGGCGCCGCACAATGGCCTCCTGGGCCGGCCCAGGGGGCAGGGCGGCCGCCATGTGGAGGGCTGTGTTCCCATGGGCCTGCGGGCGGTGAGGGGGGGCCTGCTGAAGACGCAGGCTCAGCTGGCCTGGGCCCTCGATGGCGCGTTTCATATTCCGTCACACCCAGGTCCCACATGTCCCTCCTCACATACCCCAGAAGCCCCCTCCAGGGCCACATTCCACACACCCCTCTAGGCCCTACACGTGCCCCGTCCACGTCCCACACAGCAGCCCCTCCCCAGACACAGCCCGTGGGACTCCCAACATCCCACTGCCCGCTCTCTGCCACGTCTCACCCAATCTGCACATTCCAGCCTAGGCCCCTACCTTCATGTTGACAAAGGCCCGCAGGTCTCCCCGTGGCAGCGCCAGCAGCAGCTGAACCAGGGTCGGGTTGGCAGCCTGCACAGCCAAGTGCAGAACTGTCTTGTTGCTCTTGATCTCCTGTGAGGAGGGGAACGACAGAGGTCAGGCCAGTCTTCACACCCAAGCCTCCACCCATGGAACCCAAGAGCCTTTAGACACCCTATCTCTCTTTTTCAAGCACCCAGGAGTGCCTTATACAGTTGTACGTGCTGTGCACTCTACAGGAATACCAGATTTAAGGGGGTGCCATTCAGATCATACACATCACCGAACGGTACATTTATTAAGACAATTTTCCAGCCCAAGTATCTTTGAGAAAAAGATTTCTTTTCTATTCCTCCAAAGGAGCTCTCTGGACTAGCAGCTGCCCTGGCCAGCCCACATTCTATTAAACACAGTAAAATGCGCCCACATCCCACATGGACTGTATTTTATCTATAAAGATGGGAACTGAGCAGCATTAATCAGTGGCCTATCTAAGCCTGTATCTACTTCCATCCTGAGCTGTTCTCTCTTTTTTTTTTTTTTTTTTTTTTTTGCGGTACATGGGCCTCTAACTGTTGTGGCCTCTCCGGTTGCGGAGCACAGGCTCCGGACATGCAGGCTCAGCGGCCATGGCTCACAGGCCCAGCCGCTCCGCGGCACATGGGATCCTCCCAGACCGGGGCACGAACCCGTGTCCCCTGCATCGGCAGGCGGACCCTCAACCACTGCACCACCAGGGAAGCCCCTCTCTTCATATTTTGAAGCAAGTAAAGACATTTTCCACAATGAAACTTTACTATGTGCCTTTAAAGAATTTGTAATGATAATAAACATTAAAAATTGTGTGTTTAGACATAGAATATAAACTTATGGTTACCAAAGGGGAAAGGGGATGGGGGAGGATAAATTAGGAGTTTGGGATTAGCAGATACAAACTACTACATGTAAAACAGATAAACAACAAGGTCTTACTGTATAGCACAGGGAACTAGATTCAATATCCTGTAATAATCCATAACAGAAAAGAATATGAAAAAGAATATGTGTATATGTGTACAACTGAATCACTCTGCTGTACACCAGAAACCAACACAACACTGTAAATCAACTATTCTTCAATTTTAAAAAGAGTTGTGGGTTTATATAGGGCAAAACAACCTAGCTGGCTCTATCAAAAAAATTATGAAGAGAAAACTCTAAAGGAGGGGAAGCTCTAAATTAAGAGCTTAAAAGGACGTATCACTGCAATGTGTGGGCTTTATTTGAATCCTAGTTTTTTTTTCTAATGAAAAAAATAAATGTATGTCACTTTAAAGCCAAATAAAAATTTGAACACAGGATATTTGATATTATGAGACTGTTAATTTTTTTTAAAAGTGGAATAAAGGTACTGAGGTTAACGAGAGTTCTTGTCTTCTAAAGACAAATATTTATGGGTAAAACTATAAGCTTGGATTTGCTTAAAAATAATACAGGAGAAGTGGATGGGAAAGGACTGGCTATGAGTTGCTGGTTATTTATGTTGGCTACATGGAGTTCATTATACTATTTTCTTTACTTTATCTATGTTCAAAGTTCTTGAACTAAAACGTAAAAATCCAAAACAATGAGTAGATGTTTAATTCTCTCAGCCAGCCTTTGAAGGAGCCACTGTCAGGAAGGAGGAAACTGTATGTATTCACAGCTAGATTCTGGGGTCAGGCCACCTGGGCTCAAATCCCCTCTGACACTCACAAGGCAAAGTCCTTGAGCCTCAGTTTCCTTATCAGTGAAAGAGAGAAAGTAATAATAGTATACACATCAAAGTGTGTTTGTGAGGATTCAATTAGCTAATCCATGAAACAGTGTTTGATGAATAGTAAGTGCTTGGTAAATACAAGTTAAGATCAGTAATATTATTCCCAGTTGACAACTGGGGCACAGAGAAGTGAAGTCACATGTTCAAGGTCACACAGCTGGGAAGAGGCAAGTCAGAATTTGTTTCGAGCCCCTGGATAGCCAGGCGCCCCCATCCCACATGCCCTCCTGGAGGCCAGCTGCCCACTGCCCAGCTCACCTGGCTGGTATGATCAGCACCCATGTGCAGCAACATCTTGACGCAAGCCAGCCTGTCTTGGGCCTGGGTACTCAGTACTGCGGGATATAGGTCGGGTGGGTGCATAGCAACGTTGAGGGCCAGGATGGCCGTGTGGAGAGGGGTGAGGCCTGCAGAGTAGAGACAGTGAAGACTCTACATCTGGATCACCGACCCCATCCAGCCCCACCAGCCCCACCCACCCTGCCCACCACCCAACTTACCCTCGAAGTCTCTGGCTTCGATGTCAACTCGAACCCCTGAGTTAATCACAGCCTGGGAGGAGGAGGAGGTAGAGAGCTGGATTAGGGTCTCCCCAGGCCTCCTAGCCCTGAAAGCCAGGATCTAGGCAATCAGTCCATCCCATTCATCCCACCTGCCAGGTGAACATACCGAGAGAACTCTTGGGAGCCCATATGTAGCGGCCACATGTAAGACAGAACGCCCTTGATGGTCAGTGGCGTTGGGTTCCGCTCCCAGGTTCAGTAGATCCTCCACAATCAGGGGCTGGTTGGCAGCAGCAGCCACCAGAAGAGGGGTCTGCAGGAGTCAGGAAAGGTCGGTCTGGGCCCCCAGCCCCCTCCCCTCTGAAAACCAGGAATCCAGGCCTCCAGACCCTCTGCCCTCGGATCCAGGAGTCCAGGCCCTCAGCCCTCACCTTGCCCTTATGCTCACGAATGTCCAGATGTCTGTATGCTTGGAGCATCTCAGCTGCGGCGTATGCGGCCCAGCGCAACCCTCGAGCCGCAAACAGGTGCAGGAGCCTGAGGATAGGTGGAAGGAAGCAATGAGCACAGCACCCCAGCTAAGCAGGAGAGCCTGCAGACTCCATTCCCCTATACTCACGTGTCTCCCTCCTCATCCTGGGCCAGCAGCTTTTGTGGCCCCAAAGCCAGCATGTGAGCACGGGCAGCGTCCAGGGATGGTCCGTTGACCACAGGAGGCAACTGTGGGGGTCCTGAAGGGAGTCCAGAACTTCTCCAGGATCCTGCCTGTGGCAGGGGAGGTTCTACATAGAGCCGAGTATCCAGGGGGTCCTGAAGGGTACAGGTGATGGGGAGAGCCAGTCAGCTGAGAATTCCCTCTTTCTACCACACACACATACACATACAGAGTGCCAGGCAGAGTGGCTGGGCGTCCCATCTGTGCCAAGTGACCTTGGACCTTTGGGCCTCAGTTTTGCCCATCTGAGGAATGGGCTCCTAATCCAACCCCAGACATCTCAGAATGCTGCATAAGGGCAACTGGGAATCTTAGGAGCCCTTCAGCACCCAGTTCCCATTCTGTATCTCACCTCCATCCCCAGGGGAAATGAACACGGCCGCCCTGGGTCCGAGTGTGAGTAGAAGTCAGGAGTCAGGAAACCTTCAGCAGCAGAAGCAGGGTAAGAGTAGGGCCTGTCCGTGTAGGCAGCATGCGTGTTGGGGTCCCAGTCTGGAAAGCCCATGGGGGGTGCCAGGCTGCCAAGTCCAGAACCCACAGTCTCCTGGTGTGCTGGGAAGTGAGTATGGCCTGCATGTGAGAGGAGGAGCAGAGGCAGGCCTGGTTACCAGAGTTAGGGAAGTCACAGCCCAGACAGGACCTGTGTGAGGGCCTGGAGTCCCCAAGGTACTGAAAGCTAGTACTTCTGGGGCACCAAGGAGCTGGAAGCTTGGACTTATGGGACCTAAATGCCTGGGACACTGAGGGGTTGAGGGCCTAGATTCCAGGCTGGGAGCCTGGGCCCCTGAAGGACTATGTGCATAGACTACTGGGCTCCAGAGAATCTGGCTCTACTCTGCGGGTCTCAGCAAGAATGAGGGTCTAACTCCTAAGTTCCTGAAAGTTCTAAGAGTTGGGATGTTTGAGTCCCTGAGGGAAGCTGGGGCTAGGAGCTGAGGGAACCAGGTTGAGTTTCCAGACTTACCAGCTGCACCCTCATTCACAGGTGGGGTCAGGGGCTGGGCCAGGGGAGCCAGGAACTGTCCCTGTAGAGGCATAAGCAAAAAGAAACAAGGGTGAATTTACCTGGCAGATTCCTCAGCATCCATTCCCCACCTACGGGGCATCTAAGTCAGGACTACGTCTCTCATCAGCCCTGAGGGCCCAGCAAGGCAGCAAGTCCTTGTCCAACAGGACATGGCCTCACGGGAGTTGTAGTTTACAGCGCTTCATCGGCCTCACCGGTAGCCCACCAGCGTCAGGCTGCTGCTGGCGGCGCCTTTGTTCTTCTAGGAGCTTCTTCACCGTCTGTGATGGGCAGTGGCTGCGCTCATTCCGGCTCACTGCGGGGTGAGGAGGGAGGGAAGTTATCAGGGGTCCTTACGTCACCCAAGTGCGCCGGGGAGTGGATCTGAGCGCCCTCTTCGCCCTCCCGCGCGGAAAAACTGGCACACTGATGCCGCCTGAGAACTCCAAAGCCAATCTAAGATTTCGGGTGCGGCGCCGCCTCCGCGGTTTCCTTCCTTTTGCTCCGCACCTTCCCCTCTGACCCAACTTTCCGCCAGCGTCGTGGAAACTGAGGAAGGAGGTGGAGGGCGCCCTCTGCAGCCCCCCTCCCTCTGCCTAACACTTCCGTGAAAAATCCCACCCCACCCCCAGATCTCCCAGTTCTGAGGGATTCGGGGCGTCGCCGGGCATCACTCCCCAGTGACGCACATCCAGGTTCCCAATATCTCTCTGCCCTAGAAGCTGCCCTGATACTTTTTCCTCGGGATACCAGGCATCCGAGTCCCCAGCCCCTCTCCCTGAGGAACCACGAAGTCAGTAGCCCCCTAGCTCATTAGGAATCCAAAGGTTCAGACCTCGCCCCCCTCTTCAGACCCAGAAGTCCAAGCCCCACCTCACGGGAGTCTGGGAGACTCGCATACCCTTCCCCAGGACCCAGGAGTCCGGGCCCTCAGCCGACTCCCCTCTAGGACCTGGTAATCCCAGTTTCCAGACTCCTTGTTCGCACGACGCAAGAAGGCCGGTCCCTCAGCCCTCACCCTTCCGAGCCCCGCTCGAGCATAGGAAGGGTTAAGCGCCGGAGGGCGGACTCGGAAACCGCCCAGACGCGACGCACTGACGTCACGTCGCTCACGCAAGGGAATCTTCCATCTCTTTCTTCCTCTCCGCCCGGCGACCCAGGTGTCCCGCTCCGAGACGCGATGCGTGGCCAAGCGTGGCGCTCGTGGAATCCCCGCACAAGGGAAATTCCTGCTCAGCCCGGGGACCCGGGCCGGGTGGCGACTCGGGAAATCCCAGGGTGGGGCAGGGTCACGGCCAGAGTGCATTCCTGCGGCCAAACTCCGGACCTTGCCCACCCAGACCTTGGCTGATTTCAAACAACGCCCCCAAGGACTCGATCCAGCCTTTTTCTACAGCATGGAGTCCGGGTCCCCAGCCCCCTCCTCCCAGGACCCAGGCAGGAGTCGGGGCTCCCAGCGCTTTCATCCCCGGGACCTAGGATTCAGGATCAACAGTCCTTTACCCCACCCCACGCCCCCCCCACCCCGGGACTCAAGAGTCCAGAATCCCAGCCGCTCCGGGATCACGACCCAGGAGTCTGGACCCTCCGCCCCCTCCAAACACCGGGTACCCTCACACTCAGCTTGATGCTTCACCCCTCACTCTTTTTTTTTTTTTGCGGTACGCGGGCCTCTCACTGTTGTGGCCTCTCCCGTTGCGGAGCACAGGCTCCGGACGCGCAGGCTCAGCGGCCATGGCTCACGGGCCCAGCCGCTCCGCGGCATGTGGGATCTTCCCGTACCGGGAAGAATCCGTGTCCCCTGCATCGGCAGGCGGACTCTCAATCACTGCGCCACCAGGGAAGCCCACACCGCTCACTCTTGATGCTCCAGCTCCGTCCCTCAGAGCCTCAAGAGTCCGTCCCCCAGCCCCTCTCTTAAGGGCCGAGCGTGCCTCACCTCCCCGCCCCTCCATTACCTCGGGGATTCCGTGATGCGGATTGTGGGGCCCCAGGGCCCCGGCCTCGGCGCTGCGCCAGCCTCGCTGTTTCCCCGCGGAGCCGCCGCCGGGTCCCCGATCTTGGGTCGGGTTCCCCCGCGACTTTTTAAACTGAGGTTCTGGCACCGCCCAGTCGTGGGGCGGGCCCCGCCCACAAGCCCGGGAGTCCCCGCGTTGCGCTCGAGCAAACTTGGTGTCTAAATGGGCGCGGCTGACTTTAAGAGCCCGACTCCTAAGTCTCCCCGGAAACAGGGATTGGGAACCCCGTGTTTGGTCTGAGGGAGAAGGGGCCTGAGGTAGCGGACTCCTGAAAGAGGAGGGAACTGGGGACCTGGATTTTGTCCAGGGGGGTGTTGGAGGCCTTGACTCCCAGGCCCTGGGCTGGCCGAGGGGCGGGGGGGACGCTGCCAGTATTATTGGGTCCTGAGAGAGAAGGGGGCTGGGGTTCTGAACTCCCTGGTCTCGAGGGAAGAAAGGTCTGTAGGTAAGAGGGATATAGGTGAACTCAAATTTACCGCCTTCCACACATCACCTTTCTCAGAGGCCAGTTCTCATTATTCATTCATCATTAAAAATAATTACTGCAAGGGAGGTACTTTGCTGGGTGCTGTGGTGTAGCTGTGAACTAAGCAGGCAGGAATTCCCAACCCTCAAGCCAACTGACATTCCAGTGGGGGGCTCATTCTCAGTTCCCATCTTGGTGACCATGTAAATCATATTTCTCCCCTGCTCTCAAGACTCTATGCTCTCCTGGTTCTCCTCCCTCACTTGCTGCTCCTTCCGTTTTACTGGCTGCTTCCTCCTCTTCACCCATTCTTGGTGTTGGGAGGAGGTGGTGTTGCTCCTCTGTCTGTACTCACTTCCTTGATGATCTCATCCAGTCTCATGGCTTTAAATACCATCCATAAGCCAGCAATCCCCAAATTTACATCTCCAGACCAGACTTACCGCCTGAACTCAAAGAGGCAGCTGTGGTCATTCAGCTTCTCCACCGGGTGATCTATCAGGCATTTCCAACCCAGTTTGCCCAAACCTTGGCACTCTCCCCCCTAAGCCTGCTTCCCCTCTTTCTCCATCCTGTCAAAGGATGCTCTGTCTTCTCAGTTGCTTAGGCCAGAAGCTTTGGTCATCCTGGACCCCTCTCTCTCATGCACACTCGTATCTACTCCATCAGCAAGTTTTGTTGGCTCTACCTTCAAAATCTTTCCAGGATCTCCCCAGTGCCCACACCCTGGTCCACCTGTCATGTCCCACCTGGACGATCACAGCAGCCTCCCTGATCTTTCTGACCCTCCCCCTAGTTTGTCCCTAAAGGCTGTCAGAGAGATCCATCACCTCTCCCCCTCCCACACACACACAGGAAGCAGGTGGCCTTGCCACCAGCAGAGTGACATCCGCTATTGCTGCCTCTCTACTCCCCATTGTTCCTCAGGACTTCTCTGGACCAAAGCCCTTTGACAGACCTCTTCCAGCCCCCAGCCCACCATGGTTCCTGCAGGCAACATCCTGTTTCTGCTTTTGCTCCCAAGTGAAGCCAGTGGTTATGGGGGCTGTTAGGCAGAGTTTTGTGAAAGGAGTGGCTTGGGGTGGCATCTGAAGGGAGGGGTGCTGAGGATGGGTCCTTCTCCCAGTGCCCTTTCCCTTCCAGAGAGAGACTTCTGGGCCTGGTTCTTTGGGGAGGGAAGCTGAGTTTGGATGGCTGCTGTTCGTCCCCTTCTCACCGCTGGGTGAGATTTCCTGTGAGGTGAGATTTCTGATTTCCTGTCTCCCTCTGTGTCTCTGAGTGCTTCCCTCCCATTTGGTGCCTCTTTCTTATTTGACCTCTCCCGAGTGGAGGCTACTTCTCAGGACATCACCTTTCCCTGCACCCTGTTTTGAGAACCACCTCTCCCCACTGATCTACCTTCCCTCTCCTTCCTCAGTGGCTGCAGCTCAGACGACCCCAGGTGAGAAATCAACACCCTGTCCCCTTTGCAGCACCGCTTCAGGTCCTGCTTCCATCCCTAAAGTGTGGCCTGTGGGTCCTGGATCTCACCTCACATCCCCGAATCAGAGCCCCCAGAGGATCTGCAGCCCTCTCTAGGTCCCCATCTCACTGTCCTCGTCACCAAGCTGAAGGCCCAGGGACTCGGCCATCCGCCAGCCTGTCTTCAGGAGTACTTACTATGCCCAAAGCACAGTCCTGGGAGCCCTGGGACACCCCCCAGCCTCTCTCTGGACCTCCCGCTCCCCTTTCATTCCCCAGGGAATCTGGGACACCCACCTCCAAAGGGACTTCCTCTGACCCATATGCCCAAAGCCCAGGCCCAAGTGTCTGGAACCCCCCTCAGCTGCCTTCTATCTTGGCTCCCACCCCTTCAGGTTCCTGTTCTGGATGTGGGCCCCTCTCCCTGCCACTCCTGGCGGGCCTCGTGGCTGCAGATGCGGTCGTGTCATTGCTAATCGTGGTGGTGTTGTTTGTGTGTGTGCGCCCACGCAGCAGGCCCACCCAAGGTGAGGGCAGGGACAGAGCTGGGCCTGAAGAGGCATGGTGTCCCTAGGGAGGGGGTCCCCAGGGCGGGTGCCCCCGGGCAAGCCCTTGAGGTTCTGGGGAAACCCTGGGGGCGGTGCTTAGGGGAACTCCTGAGGAAACCCCTGAGGCAGGGGGTCCCCAAGGAAGTGGAGACGTGGGTGGAAGGTGGGTGGTCAGGCCTCGTGATTTCTCTCCCCCACCCCCAGAAGATGGCAAAATCTACATCAACATGCCTGGCAGGGGCTGACTCCCCAGTAACTGCCACACAGGACTTCTGACCCTGTCATCCTGGATTGTGTGTGGCAGCACAGGAAATCCAGCCCTCTTCTGGGCTGGAATAAAGCAATTGAAATACTTCTTGTTCTAATTCTTTCTCAGACAACCCAGGTCCCCCAAAGGCTCCCTCTCATTTAGCTGTTTCTGGGTCCTTGATCCACCTAGAACCCCGCATATCCCCATCCCGTCAGCCCAGGGATCTGGAATAACTCAACATTGTGTGCTCCATGTTTATTTGGGGGCAGTAGTGGGGAGAGGTCTGATGTGTCATTGTGGACACTCTGTGGATCCGTATCTTGGTGGGAGTAGGAATAGAGTGCTGGGCAGGCATCAGGAATGATTGGATCCAGGCATCAGGTTGTTGACTGCCCTGGTCTGGGCTCATTTTTAATATGGCCTCTGTGTGTTGAGGTTGCTGTAGACATCTGTCCTCTGTCCTTGGAGCTCCTAAAGGGATGGACAGGGTGTGGACCATCAGTGAAGGGGGTCCACCAAATAAACTGAAAATAAAATCTAGCCTTCTCCCAGTGGCCTGCAAGGCCCCTGGCAGCTTCTTAAACCTTGTAGCCATGAAAGAGATCTGGACTTTATTCAAGTGCCTTCAATGTTCCCCCTTCTCCTCTGCCTCATTGTTATGCCCCAGCCAAGGGGCCTTTGTGTGTGCTCTTCACTCTGCCTGAAACATTGGTCCCCTAGATATTCCCATGGGTAGTTCCTTCTCACCCTTCAAGTCTCAGCTCATGTCACTTTCTCATAGAAGCATTTCTTGATTTCCCCATCTATAGTTTCTTCCCCACACACTCGAGTCACTGTCACATCAACCTACTTTATTTCCTTCATGTTGCCTCCCCCAAATGATCTTATTTGTTAATCTGCTTCAAGTCTGTCTCCCCAGGACTTCCCTGGTGGTGCAGTGGTTAGGAATCCGCCTACCAATGCAGGGGACATGGGTTCGAGCCCTGGTCCAGGAAGATACCACATGCCACGGAGCAACTAAGCCCATGAGCCACAACTACTAAGCCTGTGCTCTAGAGCCCGCGAGCCACAACTACTGAGCCCACGTGCCACAACTACTGAAGCCTGCACGCCTAGAGCCTGTGCTCTGCAACAAGAGAAGCCACCGCAATGAGAAGTCCGCGCACCGCAAAAAAGAGTAGCCCCCGCTCGCCGCAACTAGAGAAAGCCTGCGCGCAGCAACAAAGACCCAACGCAGCCAAAGATAAAAATTAATTAATTAATTAAAAAAAAAAGTCTGTCTCCCCAACTAGGATGTAAGCTCTGCTGCTGTGTCTCCAGCATCTAGCATATATAGGCCCTCAACAAATTCCACCAAAGGAATGAATAAACTGGGGCTTTGCCCTAAAATTTCACTGTCCCCCACCTCCCCCAGTAACTGGAAAGCCCCTTCAGTCCTCTGGACCTCACAGAGCCAAACTTGAGATTCTTATACTTTACAAAGAGACTTTTTATCCACAAGTGAGGCAAAGCAAAGTTGGCTGCAGACAAGTAAAACAGATTTCACAGAGCAGGGTTCACAATGGGGATGGGGTGGGGTTCTATGGCCCTAAGATGCAGGCCTCAGATAGAATCCCTGAAATCATATACAAATGCCCAGTCTGGAGTTCGTCTTTCTGGAGAGGGTCTGTTTGGCTTCCATTAGATTCTCAGAGGAGGTCATGACCCCCTAAAGGGTTAAGAATGGCATGGACAGGAGGTGGGAGATGGAAAGATGACATTTGCATTATGGTTCTTAAGAAGGGTTTCAAGGATACTTGCACCGCCTCTAGATTATATGCACAATTTTGTACTTTTTGTGTGGATTTTTCTGAAGAGTCTCTGGCTTTCGTCAGTTTCTCAAAGGCTGCAGGGTCCCTCCCCCACAAATTCAGAGCTCCTCTCTTTAGAGTTACCAAACTAGGGTTGAATTATATCCTCTGCCCTTATGAGGACTTCTCTGAGAAATCAGCCTGTCCTGGGCTGGGCTTTTGCAGAACAATTCAGAGCCTGCCTTCTGGCTGAGACAAACTCTCCCTGTATTTCCCCTCCACGCATTTTAAGCTGACCATAAGGTGGTAATTGATCATTGAAAGCAGTTTTGGATGTTTTGTCTTCAAGCGTTTGAGGAGCTGCTGAGAAAGTGGGCTTTAGGGCCTAGGTTCTGCAGGGGCTGGGGGAGAGGTATTTGGGACAAGACACCCTCAGCGCAGGAGTGAGGTGTGAGAAAGAAAAGCTGGTTTCCTCACCTGATAAGGCGACTCTGTCTCAGTGATGTGCTGTTTCCGGGTCACTGCTTGGGGGTGGGGAACAGCAGAGTTCAGAGACAGACGGGGTGAGAATTGGGACCATTTGGTTGCAAAAGCCGCCCCTCCATCACCTCCTTTTGGGTGGACTGTGACTTGGGAACTTACCCCTCCCCACCAGGGAAGTCCTCAGAGGGTCCCAGGCCATCCCCGGCCAGCTCCACTCACCCTCCGTGGGCCCTCGCCCCCGAGGGACCAGCCGACCCAGGGAGTACATGGCCAGGGCGATGAGGAGGGTCAGCACCAGGTCCCACAGCACGATCCCCGCCAGCATGCCGGGGCTCACAGAGGAGCAGCTGCAGTCTGGGAACGTAAGTGGCACAGGAGTCAGACCAGTGGGAGCTGGGAATTGGGAGGTGGTGTCAGTCAGCAGGGGGTGGTGTGGAGAGACCGGGGAAGGGACAGAGGTGGGGTGGTCTTTGGGAGGCAGGGAGGGGGATCGCAAGGTCTAGGCCTACCTGCGTGGGCCTGAACGAGGCTGAGACCTGAGGAGAGAAAAAGAAGGTAAACTGAGACACGTGACTATGACTGGGGGTTGGGCAGAGAAGCTGGGTAGGGTGGGTCCTGACAGGCAGTAGGCGCGGGTGGAGAGCCACGTCTGGTGGGACCTGCGGGCCGGCATCACGGCCACCGGACTGTGTTACTTCTACATCGACGTGTCCTGTTGCAACACCCTCAGAATCCCCTCCCTCTGCTTCTCCCAGAGGCCAGATCTTGTGGGGCACAGGCTCTGGGAGAGACCCATAGGGTTTTGGGCGCCAGGGATCTGCTCCGGTATCAACCCCCACCCTTTGGTTCTCTCTTTCCGCCCTGTTCCCTTTCCTGCCCAGAGCTGAGCCCAGGAGCTGCCAAAGCCCCCAACTCACCACCCACAGTCAGGAGAGACAGGAGCCTGTTGGAAGGTCCAAGGCCCCCCATGATGCAGGCGACGCTGCTGGACACCACAGTCCAAGGCGGGTGGGATGTGACGTAGTGTCCAACCAAGGAAAGGAGGAAGTCTGAGGTGGGTGGTGGCAGGAGGGAGGAGGGGACAATGGGGGAGGAGGAACGGAGACGGAGACCACCAAAGACTCAGGCCCAGACACCCCAGAGGGCCATGCTGCAGCCCCCAATGGCTGGAACGAAGGGCAAAAGATACATGTGTCAACTCGACCTCCATCCCTAGGCAGGGGTCAGACATTATAACAGGAGGGTCTGTGGCTGACTGTGATTGAAGCTATCTCTGCCTCTTCCTGGCTGGACAACCTTGAACAAGTCACTCAACCTCTCTGGGCCTCAGTTTCCTCATCTGTAAAATGAGGAGTAAAATAGTACCTACTTTATACTATTGTTGTGGGGAATCAAATGAATTAATATTTCTAGAACAGGGTCTGACCCTTGTCAGCTTTTTATAAGAACCAGTTATAATTACTTGACAATCAGAACCGCGTGATGTTCATAGGATATTAAAAGAGAGCCATCAGGATACGGGTACTAACGACGTGCAGGCGCCCCGTCCCAAGTGTTCATGCATTTAACCCCCAAGAACACTCTTCTGAGGGAGATGCTCTGATCCCCATTTTACAGAAAGATAAAGACACTTGCCCAAGGTGACACAGAACATAAAGGCAGAAATGGAACCCAGGACCCAAAGACAAATATTTGACCCTTAGAAAGAAAAAAGAACCAAGGTGGAGGATAGAGAAGGAGAAAGTAGCGGGAAGGCAGAGAAAGAGGGAGAGGAATAGGCAGTGACACAGATGCACACAGCACAGATGCAGGACTGGGGCTTTGGGGTGAGGCAGGTGGGGGAAACGTGGTAACACTGGGCCAGGTTAGGCTGCTCCCACCAAATGAGGAAGTGGCTGGAAGCGAGCACTGAGGGAGGCCACCCAGGAGATGACAAGGACTTCTAGCCCCAGCAGGAGATGAGCTGGGGCTGGGGAAGGAGGAACCTGAGGTTAGGGCCAGCAGCAGGAAGCCCCCCTCCCCTGTCCAGGCGGAACACCCACAGCTCCCCAGGGGGCCGGGCTCAGGAGAAAAAAGGGGAAACTGGATGCTGGTCATGGGACAGACGCTGAGTGGCCTGTTGCGGGGGCGTAGTATTTGAGTCTGGAAGAGGGCCAGGGCCGAGTCCCAGACAGCACTGGCTGCTAACGCCGCCACTGCCCAGGCCTGGCCGAGTTCCGCCGCAGAAGAATCAACACCCCACCATCACCACCACCACCACCAGGTCTGGAGGGAGTAGGTCCTGCAGGCCCTACTGGCACACCAGGCATCTCAAGGTGGCTGAAGCCCAGCAAGCGGGGGGGCAGTCAGAGACCAGAGGAAGCTCTGAGCCAGGAGGGCTTTGATCTGACTCGGGTGTTCCCAGGGCTCCCTCTGGCTGGGGGTGGGGAGCAGACTGTGGGGGGCAGGGGCAGGAGCTGGGGGCCAGGCTGCTGCAATGATCCAGTTTCTTGTGAGGATTTTGTGAGGTCTGTTAGAATCAGGCTTCCTGGCACCCTGTATATGCTCGATGAATGTTAATCTTTATCAACATCATTGCTGTTACTGTTATTAGTACTTCAAGTCTTCAGTTCTGGGCTCGCCTTGAGAAAAATCCTCCCTCTACCTCTCAGCCTCAGCCTCCTGATCTGATTCTTCCAACTCCAACCAGGCCCAGGCTGTCCCCAGTCTAACAGCCCCACACCCAGACAGCACCTAGTCAGAACAGATGTGGCCACAGGGCTGGATCAGAGTCCTGGGGCTCCCCTTTGGTTGACGAGATGTGGGGAAGTCTGAGGTGTCCCAAGGGAGC